ATAGATAGAACAGTAGATAAAACAATAGATAGAACGATAGATAGATAGATAGATAGATAGATAGATAGATAGATAGATAGATAGATAGATAGATAGATAGATAGATAGATAGATAGAAAAACAGAATGATAGATAGAACGATAGAACAACAGATAGAATGATAGATAGACAGATAGATAGAACGAACGATAGAACGAATGAACGATAGAATGATAGATAGAACGATAGATAGACAGACAGACAGACACTGTTCTGCAGCACTGTTGAGATCTTTGTTGAAACACAAAAACAAGACTATTGGAGTCTTTCTTTCCTACAGGATGTGCTGAGAACTTCTGCTGCATTATAATTAGAATCATCTCTTCCCACCCACTGATACCCGAGCTCAACGGTGGAAGCCGTAAGGTGTCGGCGGTGGCAGGGCGAAAAGTCCACAGAGGGAACTCTGACATTTCCAAATGTATTGTTAAATAAACTGGCAGCGCTGATGTTGGTGACAGCTCATCCATCTGTCTGTTCTGTGGCCCAGAGTGCACACCCACAGCCAAGCGCACTTTGATTTCCTGTCTTTGCCATGACGAATGGCGGCGCTTTGTGGGGGGAGCTGTCAGGGCAGGATTCACAGCCACTCGGAGCGACCCACACATTTCTCTGTTACCGAACCCCCCAAAAGGGCCTGACAGACAAAAGTACGTGTTGCAGGTAATGGGCCTGTCTTAAAAAGCACACAGAAGCCCATTTATTTCATCACTCTCCCGCACTGTAAATCCATTTCCGAAGCCAAACACACTCCATCTGTCTCTCAGCCGTAAACGTGTTCACTAATATGAATTATTCTCGTCTGTAGTGGGGTTTTTGGATACCAGTCAGAGAACAACATCTACTACAAATCATGCCATCTTAAATCATAGCTGGTGGTTGTCAAAGGTAGTCAGAAATTTCACCCGCCAAGAATCAACAGATAAATTACTTTTCCTTGAGAGCACTTCCAGAAAAGGCCTCATGAAATTGCCTGACGAGTTGCTGTTGCTGACTTTTCTGTTCTGTGTTGATGCATTTCCAATTGAAACGACATGTTTAGGTGGGACATATCGCAAAATAGCTGATAATGTTTAGTTATGTCATATCCATGAACAATTATTCAATACTTGCTGCTCGATTGCAAAGGGAGAGACATAATAGATGAAAATAATAATGGTCAAAAAAGTATGCTTCTTGAGTGTTATCATGATTAACGAAAACTAAAATGAAAACTAAATAGATTTGAGTTAACTGAAATAAAAATAAAAATAAAATATTGGGGAAAATGTTAAACCAAACTAAGATATACAGTATATTTACATATAAACTCATTTAACGTGTTCATGTTTAAAATACTTTTATCAAAAAAGAAAACTAAATATAAATGAATAAATAAATAAATAAAAATCTTCAATGTCAAACACGTCAAATACACAAATGTAAATGTAACACGAAAACGCCTCTATACAGTTAAACCATCAGATTGTGCTTAAAAAATGCTTTACAACAATTTATTTTTGTTTATTTCTATTTTTTAAATACTACACTCTAAAAAATGCTGGGTTAAAAAGGGACAAACCCAGCTATTGGGTTGTTTTGACCCAGTGGTTTGTCCATTTTTAACCCAGCATTTTTTAGAGTGTCGTTAGTGAAACTTTGGCCCTGAAAATAATAAATAATAATATAATAATAATAAAAACTAAAGATAAACTCTATACTAAACCAAATAATGACAGAGTGAACTAAATTAAAAATAAAATTGAAAAAAATAAAAATGGCCACTGAAAGTAGGCATACAATATTATTGTAGATGTTTCACCAGTGACCTATTTTTTTCCTCACAGGCCTCTCAACAGCATGAAACAGACTTATGTTTTCCTTGTCTGTCTAATAAGCAATGATCAGAGGCATTTACGGCTCAGGTGATTGGCTCAGAAAATCTTTCTGGAACTCAAGCAATGCACCAGCCGAGCAACTGCCATTAAGATGGATGCGACTTCTAGATAGCTCTCCAGGTTTATTAGAACTCCTGGAAAATCAACCAACGAGCGGCTTACAGTTGTCTCTGCATATTAAGCCAGACACAAGAAAGTGCTTAAACATCAGAAAAATGTCACACATCACCTTTAACCAGCGCGAGCAGTATCTCTGATGTGCAGTGCAGCATTTGGAGCGTTTGACGGATAAAGAGAGACGTCGGTCAGTGACATTTAGCTTGTGTCCTAACAGCCTGCAGACTTGCACATGCAGAGAAGCTTGTTTGCATCTCACACCACAAAGCAGCAGAATCAAATTTGCACAGGCATTAGTTTGAACGCGCAGTGGTGCGGCAGGTGCTCAACGAAAGTAAAATCTCTTTAAGATATTTAACAAACGACTAATCTTCTGCTCTGAGCTTTCCGGGGAATTCCACTTCGGAAGAAGAGAGACTTTTTAATTGGACTCCTGACAATTGATTTTAATCTTGTAAATCTCTCATCTCGTCACTGTCCCTCTCGTTACTCCGAGCATCGGTGATGAAAACGCTCTGTGCATTATCGTGATGTCATCACAGCGGCTCTGTTGTGATCCTGGATGACAGCCCTGGCCGGAGAGGACGGCATAATTAAATCACGAATATTACACATGCACTGCTGGCGCACAAAGACACACACATATCTCCATATCGCTTGCATCTTACCACAATTAAAGCGGTATCATATTATGCATGTGTACGCTGGATCTTTTAAAAAGGCCATTAAAAGGACAAGAGCGATGAGGGTTTTTCATCACATGCCTATGGTCTTGAAGGGTCAAGGCCTCGTCGAAACCACATGCTTTCATCCGTAAATGGCTCGGAGCCAAACAGCGGCAAAGGCCGATGGTCACGCACATTGATAAATCAATATCTCACCCACAACTTCAGTAGGGTCACGGATATCATTATCGAAATGAAAGGCCACCTCTGTAGCATCACAGCAATCATAAGTTGCCACTTCATCCGGCTATAGACCGAAATCATGTTCCTTTAATGGATTTTTTGTCTCCCAGAATAGAAAATTCAGTCATTATTTACTCATTCCAAACCTGTATGTCTTTCTTCAGTGGAAAAATAAATACATAAGCAATAAAAAATATGAACTGATTTTAAAAAAAGTCTTCAATGCAATGCAAGTAAGAAATATAAATAAATAAATAAATTCAAATTAAATCATAAAAATATGAAGTGATAACAAAATAATTAAATGCAAGTCCTTTTGGATAAAAGCATGACAAATGCATAAATGTAAATAAACTAAATAAAACATGAAAATGCCACCAGAGAGCAACACTACCAGACTGTGCTTAAAAATAAACAAACACATAAATAAAATAACGCTGTTAACTAATTGTTTCTTAAGCTTTGGCAGAACACAGAAGAGTATAGTCTATAAAAATGGTTCAACTGTTTTTGTCTACAATAAAATTTAATGGGGCCCAAAACAGCATTTTTTTATGTTGTGTTTTTTTTAATCGATAAATAAACAATTTTTTCCCCCCCACAGAAAATAGAAAGTAATTTACGCTTGGAATGACATGAGGGTGAGTAATGACTATCTATCATCTATCGTTCTATCTATCTATTGTTCTATCGCGCTGTTGGCATATCATTTTATCATTCTATCCATCTATAGATTCATGAACAACATGACTTCATGACAGACATATGCCCTCGACATTGCCTGTAAAATACAACACATTCAGTGACATTCGATTAGTGATTTATCAGCTTCTGCAGCTGGACATGTTGAAAACATTTCAGGCCCTCAGGGTTTTTTTTTTTTCAAGGTGGTCAGAATAAAAAAATGTATTACAGCAAAGGAGTGTCCCTCCTTAGTTTGAGCTGGAGGCCATGAAGCCCAAATAAAGCTCAACCATTAACTGAGAGGATCTAGAAGGAATGTTTGATCCCTCGAAAACAAGACACCAGTTCACGCCTACTAACATTCAGTGCACTGAACGTCTCCGTTAAACGTGAGGATTTGTGCAGCAGGGTACCCATAAATCTGCAGTATTACCGTGCTAAGACGCCACCGTGAGATGAAGTGTTAATGTCTGTAATATCTCTTATTATATCCCATCTTAACTCAAAACCCCATCGCACCCCCCACTGACAGCCATCTGCAATACTTCCACATCAGCACACAACGCTGTGCCATGTATGACATGCCTCCCAGTGCCTTTTTAGGGCAGTTAGCTTATCAAATGTGAGTCACGTTCTTACCCCTGACTCAAATCATGACTATCCTCTTCATTACCTCTAGAACACACACAGAAGCGCCGGACAGACTCACGCACACACATGCAACAACACACTGTGTAATGCATGTTCAGTAGACATTGATGCAAATGCATGCATACAAAAGCACTGGTCCCTGAACACATCATTCACAGCATTAGAAGAAGCAAAAGAACTTCAGAGACCCATGAGCTTCACACTACAACTAGTTCCGACACACACAATGTGCCTCTAAAAGCCATTCGCGTAGAAAAGAAAACCACAAATTAGATCTCAGCTGAGAGAAATCTCAACAATGATGACAATCAGATTTCTCAAGTCCGCAATCAGAGGTTCTTCACATTTGCGTTCCACGTCTCAAATTCGTATTTCTCCAAAGACGTTTCAGGAGACAAAGTTACATCTCCAGTAAATCTCCTGAGCTTGTGAAAGAGCAGCCCCTGAGCAATACAATTTTCCTCTGGGTTGTGAAGCATGCCCTCCATATTATGCTATAGATTTCCATAATAATATCACAAGCTCTCCAGGGTCTCTCAGAGGAGTCCTACACTGTATGGTTTCTCCCCTGGGTGTTAAGGCGCAGAAGCTCGGCTCAGAGAAATCTGACAGCTGCATTTTCAAACAACTTTAAAAAAGGGACAAATTCAGGTGAGTCTATGCATAGAGATATGATGTTATTTGGACCCCGTTTCCATCATGTATTCTGATGCTCAACACTTGCCTTCTTTCAGGATGTGGGTGTAGATCATCCACAGCATGAGCAGGCAGCAGAGAGACGCACCTCCGCCGGCACAGAGCGCCCGCATCCCCGACTGCATCCTCACTACGTCCCGCAGAAAATACTCCCGGCACCCAGCCTAGAGCAAGTTCAAAGCAAACTCGGCTACTTCCATAGATTTTCACGGGAATGCGTCCGGGATGCGAAGAGAGAGTTAATCCGACGTGAATTTACGCACAGTGGTTTCCATTTTACGCATCTCATAAAACGCATTCAAATATTTAACTTGCAGTGAGGGGCATTAAAAAGTAATTATCGAACGGGTACGTGCCCAATTTAATATTTAACTATACAGGCTAATATGTGTTTTAATTAAAAAGCAAAGCAAATCAAATTGATGGAAAACTCATCCAAGCAAAGTAAAATGAGTCATAATTTGGTCCGTTGGAAATTGCGCAAATCCTCTGCGGTCTGGAGAAGTATCCACACAGGGTGAAATGGTCAGTGGTACCAGTCCAGTGGTAACAGGTCCAGAATGTACGGATGCTGACTGTAGATGAGCTCGAGACGGAGGTTCGGTTGTGGGTCTTCAGAAATGCGTCTTCTTCAATGTCACTCCGACGTTCCCAAACCAGTTCGTGTCAAATCACACAGAATCTGCCCTGTGGAGTTACAGAGAACCGCAGTGAAGCGTTTCGCACACATTCTCCGTGATTCGTGGCTGGATTCAGAGACGAGTTCTCCCTCCTCTAGCACGCGCACACACGCTAACTCACGCACACACTCACAATGTGTGAGGAGAAGGGATGGAGATCGTAAGGAATTTAACTATTCCGGCTCCTTAAGGATTATTTTAGTACTTAAGGAAAATATTTGACAATGCAATAGAACTGTCCAGTTTGTGGTCCTAAAACCCAGGGGGGAAATGCATTTACAAACTAGGATTCCTTGTGGAATTTCGTATGGGCGTTTACATGTCCCGAATTATGAGTAGCCTACATTAAGTTTTGCGGTTAATATGAATGGGGGAAAAGAAAAAGAAAAAACTCAAGTTTTGTTCTACTTCAGTAAGCCTACGTGAACTGATAATACGTTTCTTGAGGTCATAGAAGTTAGGATATTCGTTCGGGAAACTACACGTCGCGCGGTATTATTCAGTGAAAAGAATCGACTCGGAATCAATCCTGCGGGAATCGAATAGCCTGCTGGTCGCGCTGTATGCGTTAGGCGGTGTTGGGGAAAGTTACTTTTAAAAGTAATGCATTACAATATTGCGTTACTCCATAAAAAAGTAACCAATTACGTTACTTAGTTACTTTTTATGGAAAGTAATGCGTTACGTTACTTTTGCGTTACTTTTAAAATCTGGACAGGGCTTGCTTGTTCGTTTTAAAATAAAAAAGTTCTATTTTTAGCAAATATAAAAGCCTTTTCACACCAAAAGTGAAATGAATAAGCCTCAGGCTGAAGGGAAAGAAAATGTACGTCCGTACAGTAGAACGCAGAAGAAGAAATTTCAACACACTTCAGCAATAAAAAAAGACACAAATGTTTGTCTAGAGTAATTTGTGCTTATTAGTACGGTTGAACTGGATCATCGAAGGTCAGAAGCAAATACATTGGTTAATAGAATGGGATTAAATA